CACAGCTTTTCTGTGTGAATGCAATGAGTGTAAAAATCAACAGGTTCAATGATTACATAAGGGTGGATTTACAGAAGCCCTTCTGTTATTTGATTTCCTGCACTAGAGAAATTGCATGTACAATGTTCATGCATGCACACAGAGATAGCCAGTGTGTATGTATACTTGTACTGCTATTCACATGTAACTTTCAATTTGTATGTAATCTGTGCACACTGTACACAGACTGTTTATCTGTATGCTTGTACAGTTATTTACATGTAAGGCAGTGTCTATGTGTTCATACAGGGGTTTGTGAGAGATAGCCCAGGAAGAACATTTTTACCTAGGAAAGAATGTGTTCATTTATCTCAGATAAGTGGAGTAAGGAAGAATCTAGAATTTGCTGTAAATCAGGTAAAATGCATGGACATAATTTTTTACAATGTGGATGAGTGAGTGTAAATACTGATGCATATATGTTGGAGTGGTTCATATATTCTTAGCAGTATTGTCCTATGTATGACAAAGATCAGACCAAATCATGCAAACGTGCTTAGATATCACCATGTGAGTGAGATCATGTGCAAATTCAGACTTTCTGTATACAAATGCATGCCTGATACTTGTATATAATTATTTTATCATTAAAAAGAGATATGGCAGGATCACATTTTCCCCTCTGAAAAAGGGGATCGCACAGCTGGATCATACAGCTATCTTGGCCAAATTGAATACGCCTTTACATACATGAAAGCTATTCTCACAAACTGTCCTTTGCTTGGTGTGCACTGTGGTGCATGCTGCCACCAAGCTTGGACCAGCTCAGCATCTCATACAGTGCTGAGAAGCCATACCAAATATCTGAACCATCCCTTGGTGACCTACAGCCAAATGTATAAACTAATTTCCCTAAAAAGCGCTAGTTTTCTTCCCAGGTAACATAAAATGATATTATAGAAATGTGTCCAGACCTAAAACAGCTCATGCACACACACCACTTGTTTTTTGATGTTGCAGTTTTCTGAATAGCAAATATGCCTGCATATACCAGCCAGACAATGTTGTCCAAAACATTTGACCAGGGAGGCCTTGTATGAACACAGAATTGCTTGTGAATCTCACTTGGAACCCTGGATCAGTCTATCCTACCTATTTGTACCAGTGTAATATATTTACATAATATTTTATATTCTGTGTAAATAACTGAGCTATTTATTCTTAATATTTATTCTTGGTAAATAGCTGAGCTGGCACACTGATCTTATGAAAAAGGCAGCCAGTTAAATTTGGAATATAGGACATTAAAAAACTTTTCTGTCTTTCTAAATGTTCATTTGATAGAAGATTACAGTTGCAATAACCTCTCCCACAAAAAGGTCCCTGCTTTATTTTACTGAATTAAATGTAGCATTGATTATGTCAGATAACATACAGACACACACAATTCCCCCTCTATACCCTTGCTAGTCATTTCATAACAACTATACAATGCCTGTCCTGCATTATAATAATTTTTCAACTACTTGGACTTCCAAAAATAGCTAAAAGAGATTGACTTCCCCTCCCAATTCAAAAGCTGACATGGAACTCTCTAGCTAAGAAAAGATAACCAGGTAAGCTGCTTTCTGGCATTTAAAAAAAACAACAGACTTCCCAATATAGGAAATCTTTTGGATTGATGGAAGATGGGCTTTGTCCCAATTCATTTAAAAGTTGTCTGGTTGTTGCTTTTTATCCCCTTTAATTGAATATTGCAACATTTATATTGTGATGGCAGGGAAGGTAGAGTAAGCTGCTTTGAGAGCCCATTTAGGCTAATCCTGTGAGAATTTTTGTAAAAGTTTTTTTAAAAAAATTCACCAAACCCACCAGAATCTTTTGAAAAAACATTTGAAAGACACTGAAGAACACTGGTCAATGTTTTCAAGAACCACATGGCAGCAGATTCTTCTTCATCCTGAAGTTAAAGAGCTGCCACCTTTTTTTACTTTCCTTTGCATAAATTCACTAAGTGATATTTTGACATGCATTTATGTATTTATTAATGGCATGGAGATGCACTAACAAATAAAGCTTCCTATGTGTAATTGGTACAATACCACCCAAAAACACAAAACACAATGATATCTATATTCAGCCAACCAAAATGCACAAAATACATGTTGCAAGTTTTTAAAGCTCTACTGGTTTCTTTATCAGGTAAAGGTGGGAAAAAATGTACAGGAGAAAACAATATTATAAAATGATGATGTTAATCATAGGCCTGCATTTTCTCAAGGTGGTGTTGCTGTGTTATTTTCTGGAGGGATATCAATGAAAGCAGGTCCCTCCTCCTTCTGGCCATGTGGCACTGGGAAGAAAGCATTCAAAAGTCCAGGACTTAAAAATGGAATACCATTACTAATACAAAAAGGTTACTTCCTCTGAGATCCAAGATGTCTCCATCTCTGTGAAGTCACAGCCCTCTTGGTTAGGCAGAGAACAATGCATCTCTCAAGAGAAGCCCTCATCTTTTTCATTGGGAAAATTTTAGGTGCTGTTTTGGTAAAACATGCCAAATGTAGTCCTAATTTTTTTTTTAAAAAAATCTTTTCCCTTTTTGGCAGTATAGACTCCAAATAGTAAAGTCCCAGTTCACTGCCTCTCTCTTTAGGATTCCCTATAGCAGCTACAATGTGGTGCCATCACATCACCTGTGAAAGACAGGAGACCTAGTGCTAGCAGTAGCAGTTATGATGAGGGGGCATTCTCCCTATTGAGGAATATTTTCAGAAGGAAATTTCTGCAGTCCAGCTCTCTTTCCTTTACCTTGTACAAACTGCTATAAAATGCTTATTTTCACTGATAATTTTGTTGTTGCGGCTGCTGTTGTTGCAAAGAAAGATTGCCCAGTGTGCTCACACACCTCTACCAAACTGGTGCAAAGGTGGGCGCCTAGTTGGTGCTTTATATTTAAATCATTGAACTGTACTTGGAGGCCATTGTATCAAGGTAATAATAATCAACACAGAGTCTTGGAAAGGTGCAGTGTGTTGGGTAGGCTTTCAGTTTGCCTAATTACCAAGCTTGTTAATCTCCATTTCAGGCTGCCTTAATATGAACAAAATAGAGAGGCTCATTTCTTACTCTCCTGGGGGAGCTGTAATTTGCATAGCCATTAGTATGTACACACACAGAGGAGAGACACAGACATACTTCTCCAAGGTAGTGGGGAGAGTGGTGGGTTTCCAAAGCAAACTGCAATAAAAAATGTTCCCCTCCACCTTCATCAACACCTTGGGTGCAATGTTGTTTTCTTATTTACAGCTGCAATCATGGAAACAAATAACCTGGCACTGCTATTAAGAACTGCAGTTTTCGTTTCTTGAAAAACAACAACAGGGTAACAGCAGTGGTTACAAAGTGCCCATATGAGTGCCCTCCTTCATTGATATTTCACTTTCAGGCTTCAGGGAGCAGCTTATATAAATATCTTGGCAAAGGCCCCAAAAGTATCTTTCAATAAACAAGCTACAGTTTTTACATTGGTCCCCCTTCCACTAGTATGTCTCCAAACTGTACTTTAAAAAAAACTGGGAAGCTTTTCCATCTCACTTTTCCCCTCTGGGATAGGTTTTGTGATTTTTAGCATTGAAGTCAATGCCTCTTTGATGTATTGGACTGCAACTCCCCTCATATCCCACATCCCCAGATGAGGACTCACTGATATTCCATCTCTATTTTGGAAAGTGATGGTCATTTACAGGATAAGTACTTGTTAACTAGCACTGTTACCTACCATAAAGCAAACACTGCCTGTTTGGTTCTTTTGGAGCATTATGGCATCCATTCACTTCTTGCCTTAACTGAGGAGTTAGTCTCTGTGATAGACTTGGACTGGAGAGATGTGACTTAAAAGCCCTATAATTGTTGTAGCACTTTGATGGTAGGTTGCCAACTTAACATGCTTCACAAAGTTATGTAGAGGTGGAGTTAAAAATAGTATCATATCCATCAGTCTGAGCTCACAGGACAGAGGAATTAAAGTGTGTTAATAAATAATACCTGAAAAATAAACTCATTTTCAGTTATAAAGGGCCAATACACATGGCCTGAAAGGGATGGCACAGAGCCGCCCCTGGGAGCAGTGGATTGGGACCAGGGCAACCACATACCGGAGCCCCAATCCTCCTTTTTGCTGCCCCCAAAAGAGCGACAAAATGCCACTCTTTTGGGGGGCGGCAAAAGGCTGCCCTTTCAACTGCCGCCATGGTTTTTTTGTACCCTTTTGGTGCAGCGTGTGTACACGCTTCACCAAGAGGGCGTCCTGATGCCTTGCACCATGCGGATGAGCGTGCAGTGTCAGGACAGTGTTGGAGTGAATTCAGGTGGTTAGCGTGCAGCTGCCATGCCCCAGCTCCACCCCTAGGCTGGCCCTTTGTGCCAGTCTGCATCTCCCCTAAGTCAATGGAAGATTTTTACTCTTACTTCATATTTCTCTTTCTATATTTTATATTGCAATGGAATGCAGAAGTTTGACACAGGCTATTTATTGAACTCAAATGAAAGCCAGCAGCTTTTGGGACCATTGTGGGGATGAG